ACCTGGGCACCGTTGACCAGCCCCTCCTGCCTCTGGGAACCACCAGCCTGTTTTCTGTTTCTCTGGCAAATCCTTGCGGTTCCTCCGGGCTTCCTTTACTTCCCGCCAGGCAGAACTGGTCCGTGGAAAGGTTCCTCCCGGCAATGAAATGAGCCAGCACAGAAAGGTTGGTTTGGCGAGAAAGGCCCCATTCCCAGGTGGGCAGGTTGAGTCCCCTGGGATTTGCAGACACCATTTCCTGAGCTTCTCTGGGACATGGAACAAGAATGCAGGTGCGTCTCTGGGGAGATTAGTACCTTTGTTACAGAGGGTCAAACAGCGCGTGTGGGCTCCGACGTGGTAGGCCCTTCACACGAGTCCACGGAGGAAAGGGTCAGGGATGTCCAGCCTGTCCCCTGTCACACAGCTCGTACGTGGTGGAGCTGGAGGAGAGAGTGCTCCGAGCCCCGCCTGCTGCCCGCCCCAGGCCCCTAGGGTCTCCCAGGGAAGTTGCGGGCTGTCTCCGAGGGCCGGGGGTCTGTGCCTTGTCCCAAGGTGCCCAGGCAGGTGAGGAGTGGCTCTGAGTCCAGGTCCTGAACCTGCAGGGCCTTGTCTGCTCAGACGTGGCCCGTGTACCAGCAGCAGGCCCAGGGAGGGGACATCAAGTGGGGGACGGTGACAAGTCTGATCCTCATCTTGAACCTTATGCGTAAAGCCGCTTCCCCAGATGACCCTAGTTAGGAAGGACTGTTGCTGTCCCCAGCCTGCCTGTGGGTCCCCAAGTGCAGGGGAGGCTCTGTCTCTGGAGATGTGGGAAACAAGCCAGAATGGAGGCTTTGCTGCTGGGCAGCACTGTGCCGAGGGCAGGGTGCACGGTGGTGAGAAAGACCAACCTCGGGCTGTCCTTAGGGGACCACATGTAGTCCTAGATCACGATGGTGGTGATGATGGTGGTGATGGTGATGGTGGTGAGGATGGTGGTGATGATGGTTGTGATGGTGAGGATGATGGTGGTGAGGATGATGGTGTGGATGATGATGGTGAGGATGATGGTGATGATGGTGATGGTGATGATGGTGATGATGATGGTGAGGATGATGGTGGTGATGATGGTGAGGATGATGGTGGTGATGATGATGGTGAGGATGGTGGTGAGGATGATGGTGGTGATGATGATGGTGAGGATGATGGTGGTGATGATGGTGGTGGTGATGATGATGGTGGTGATTGTCATGGTGATGGTGATGATAATGGTGATGATGATGGTGATGGTGGTGATGATGATGGTGATGATGATGATGGTGATGGTGGTGATGGTGATGGTGATGATGGTGGTGATGATGGTGGTGACGGTGATGGTGATGATGGCGATGGTGATGGTGATGATGGTGATGATGGTGGTGATGGTGATGGTGGTGATGGCGATGGTGATGGTGATGATGGTGATGATGATGGTGAGGATGATGGTGATTTGGCCGAGGTCCCCCCCCCTTCCCTCCGCATTCCTTCTGGACTGACAGTCCAGCCCTGCAGTGTTCAGAGGACAGGGGCCCTCAGAGAGGAATGGAAGGGCCGACTGCCCAGTACTCGCAGGCCTGGCGTTTGTGGGGTGGCCAGCGGACCTTACCATCCACAGTCCCTTGTAGCAGGAACGCCTGCTGGGGCCACTGCCTATTTGTGTTGGCTTATTTTTGCAGGAGATACTTAGAAGTGCCGGTGTCATTTTTCTGTCTTTTTCTCCCTAATGGCAAGAATCGCAACAGGAGGCCACTTGGGGCCAGGACACTAAAGGCAGCCCGGCCTCCTGCCCCCTTGGGAGCAGAGCTGGGAGCTGGGCAGCGGCCCAGAAGACTTTAATTGGTGGCAGAGATGAGGGGAGGGGTGGGAATGGGCTGTACAGACCTTCCTGAGACTGGGCTTTCCCAGCCAGCTCCCTGTCCTTGCCCTTGCCCTTGGTAGGACTACGCCTGGTATTTTCCAGCTCCAGGCCCTTCTCCGGTGCCACGTCCTTCTGAGGCCCCCACCACTTGTGTCCAGCCTTCCTGGGAAACTGGAGCCTCTGTCCACCTCCAAATTAATTTTGAGGGCTCCCCCAACAAAAACAAGGGGATTGAATCTGAAAGAAGTAGGTTGAGGGGATGGGGTAGAGTCCTGAGCCTGGGGTTCTGTAGTGTGGGGGGCTCAGAGTCCCCCACCTCCTGCAGCAGGACCCACAAGGACATTGACACTGAGGTCAGCGGTTGAAGGCTCCCTGCCTGCCTCTGGCCCCCGGGCTACGCACTGGCAGAGGCTGGAGCTGCGGGCCCTGGCGCCGTGCTTGGCACGTGGTGGGGCACAATGAATGTGTTCCGAGGAGGAGGAAGACACAGCTCTCCCATGCTGGGTTTAGGACTTGACCCTGGGCTTCAGCTGGACAGGCCAGGGCTGCCGTGTGCCCCATGGGCCTTCTGGTCTCCCTTTCTTCTCCCTTTTCACAGAGCCAGCCCTGGGGCCTTGAGAGGCTTCATGGTGACTCACTTGCTTGGCCTTTTGTCTCTTACCTTTGTCTGTTCTGTGAAGAAGGAGGCGGGACCAGGCGCCCCCCCCCCCCCGGCAGCTGGGACGCTGGGGCCCCGCACCGGGGTGGGCCCAGGGCCCAGGTTCTGTACTGTGGGTGATGGATAGTGTCTTGTCTGCAGAGCGGGGGAGAACATGCAGTTGCCATCAGGGACAAGCTGCTAAATGGTGGCCCATTTAAGAAGATGAAGGGCAGCTGTACTGATGGCGAGGCCAAGGCCTGGCTGAGGTAGGGCTGCTCACCGGAGAGGTCTACAGGGCCATTCGTGCCACCCCTGTCCAGGCTCCGTGAGCCCACGGCCCAGCAAGGTGAAATAACCTCTCCTCTCCCGGCCTGCGAGCCTCCCGAGGCGGGTGTGCAGGGTCGGGACAGGGCGCACAGCTCAGTGTGCGAGTGGGGGGTTGGGGGGTGAGGCGTCACCACCACCCTGGAGGAGGTGGCCCAGATTTCGGGAGTTGTTCGTAGCCATCAGTGTGGGGCCGGGGGCGGGGGTTGGGCTCTCTCTGGATTCCTGTACCGGCCTCTCCCCTCCCCGCCTTTGCTTCCTGTCCCTTGTCACCTCTCCGCCTTGGGTTTACCTGCCACGTCAACCGTCCACACCCCCGCCTGCTCTTGTCCCAGTGGGTCTGGTGCAGAATGAGTTCCAGCCTCGCCTTTCGTGCCCGCGGCTGAGAACCAAGCATTTGGATCTAGGAGAAGCCTGCCTCCCTGCCTTCTCCCCCCGCCCCCCAGCTTGGGTCACCGCCTGGAGCCGCCTCTCCCTGGGGCCCCTCTGCGTCCACCTGGCTTCTCTTCTACCCGGCTGTGGGCGGCGCCCTGCCGCCACCTGTCTCTCGCACTGCATTTAGCGCTGACCCACGACAGCAGATCACACACTTGCTTTTCCCACTGAGGAGCGGCCTCACGGAGCACAGGGCTGTCTCCCGTTCTCCCCGATGCCCGGCCCCCGGCGCCGTGCGTGGCATGGCTGCTCGCTCCAACGCCACGTGGTGCCCGGGCGTCTCTCTGCGGCTGGCAGCACTCTGGGGGGCTGGCCCTGCCATTGGGGATGTGCGGGATTCTCCTTTTAAGCAACTGGATTTTAGGAAAAGAAACACACTCGTAGTCTTTTCTTTTTTAAAGGTCCGTTGTGGGGTTTCTGGGGATGTGCAGGGGGGGGTCTCTCTGCTGAGGCGGGCTGGGGGAGTACCGCCTGGCCAGCCGGACCCAGGACTCTGCCCCAGGGCCGGTCTCTCGGGGCTCTGCCCAGAGAGGATGTCTGCAGCGGTTTTGCGTCTTACCTGCCGATGGCGTGCCCACGGGGTTGGAGCGAATTAAACAAAGAAGGGAATTTCAAGGCCCAGGTGCCCCCCGAAACAGCAGCCCCCGCCCCCGCCTTGTGTTTCCTGGGAGTTTGGGCTCCGGGGAGTGAGAGCAGACACTCTCCTACAGAAGCCTGAATGTGTGCATGGAGGAGAATGAAAGGGGGTTTGTTCATTCGTTCATTCATTCATTCATCCATGTGACAAATAGTGAGCTCCGACCGGGTGCTGGGCACATCCCAGGCACTGGGGTCCCAAGTGCTTGCCCTTGGGGAGCCTGCATTCCAGGGTGATGCATCTGTGTGGAGCAGCTGTGATAAGTCCTGGGGGAGATTCAGGGGGCGGAGGAGGAGGGGACACCCTCATCTTTGACCCGGTGTTGTGCATGGGCCAGGCCACCGTGCCACACCCCCCAGGCTGGGAGGGGTGCGCCGCGCGGTCACCCAGCTGTGCAGGCACGTGGCGTGCAGGGGGAGGTGCGCTTGGACGTAGGGACAGCCGGGAAGCCTGGGGCTGCGGGAGGTGCGGGCACTGCCTCGGGTCCCGTGGGCACAGGAGGATTTACCGGGAAGCTGTGAGCCCCCCACCCCGGCACGGCCCTGCGGTGTATTTTTAGCTTCGTCGTCTGAGACAGCCCTCCCCCACCCCGAATCATGTAAGCATCAGGGTCCCCAGACCTGGCTTGCAGGTCACTGTAGCCACCTGGTGTTTCCTCCCAGCGACATGGGACATGGCTGGAGAGTGACGTTGCCCAAGGAATCTTTTAAAAAGAGAGGGACCAGGGAGTTTCAGGAATGGTAGCCGTGATGGGCTGTGGACTCTGCATGGGTGAGGCAGATAGTGAGGGGGGTGGGCACCACAAGATGTGGTGGGGCCGGTGCTTGGGGGTGGGGTGGGGAGGGTGGCCAAGTATCATTTAGGGGCCACCACAGCGGGAGGGCTGGCTGAGCAGCAGGGGGCGCCCACCTGCCCTTTGGCAATAGGGTCCTAACGCTTTGTTTCCCTACAGGTTCCTCTCGCGTCCCCCCCCCCCCGCCCGGGTGTGGCCTCAATTGCCTTGAAGCACCCCCTCTTCTCTTGTTTGCTAACACCTGTGTTCCTTTTATGTCAGAAAGAAGATGTTTGCTTCGGAGGCATTTAAATCTTCTTTTCTTTTCCTTCAGGTTGAGAATCTGTCTCTGAGAACCTGAAACTGTTCCTCTGCTGATACTCCGTGTTTCCCAGCAGCCTTCCCACCCCAGAACGTTCCAGAAAGAACCCCACGGGGAGGGGGGCACCTCCCTGCTGCAGCAAAACACACCTCCCCCACCACTACCAGGTAAGGCTGCTGCCCAGGCCGCCCGGTCCTCGGAGGAGGAGGTTGCATTTGCGATGGGAAAACATGTTACGAACCGAGGGGACTGCAGGGTGGGGACTTGGCTCTGCCTTTTGTGGCCTCGGGGGGCAGACTGGGAGGCACCGGGGCAGACCCCCAGGGCTGTGCTGGCTCAGATTGGCAAGGGGTGCCTGCTCTCTGTGACCTGAGGTCCGTCAGCCTGGATGCAGTTATCATCCCAGGAAGGAAGGTGGACAGGGCGTAGCGTCCACTCTCTGGTGTCATAGCGCGAACTGTGGAGGCCAAGGTCGGCTGTGACCTGCCGCTGCCCAGATCCTCCTGCAGGCCAGCCAGTGGCGCTCGTGCCCCCACAGGCTCCGGGGGGGAGGGGGGGCCCGGACGATTGCTCCGGGGAACTTCGGCTGGATCAGGAACTCCCCCCGCAACCCCAGGGCTATCGGGTTAGCGACAGAGCACCCCGTAGGCTCAGGGCCCGTCCCTTACGAGGCTGCCCTACCTCAGACGCCAGCCGCAAGTCTCGGGGGTCACCTGCACTTCTGATGGACCAGCTGCAACTTCCCAGGACCCTCAGTGCTGATAATCCGCCAGACTGACTCTCAGAACTGCAGAGCCACGTGTGGTCAGGTTTCCGTGGTAAAGGACGCCCTCCCCCGCAGGGGCCAGGACCGCTCACCCTCCGGGCGTGTCCGCAGCGCACCCATCACCAAGCGGCCTGGCCTGGGAGTGCCCAGTTTTACTGGGGTCCTATTACATCAGTGGCCACAAGGCTGGACTCTGTCCCCTGCCCCGTCTCTCCCCTGAGGGGGAGCGTCCCTCTGTCTAAGGACCCGCCCAGCCGTCCAGTTACCATGAAGTCAGGTGTGAGGTTACACAGGACACCCCCATCCCTCGGGAGGGCCCCGCGTTTTAGAGGTCACCTCCTGGGAACTGGGGACAAAACCAGGCACATTGTTACATCACCAGGGAGGTCAGTGCAGCCCATTCCCCACTGAGAAACTGCACAAAACTGGAGGGTGGGGCTCACGCAGGGCCGGGCAGGAGAGACTCGGGCGCGCGGGGCAGTCCGCCTCTGTGCCGCCCTTTTATGGGCGGGGCAAACGATGCCAGCAGGAGTTCTGGGCAAGGAGCCGAGGACACAGGCTGGTGTCTCCAGTTCCCCCTCCGGGGTGCCAGCTGTAGCGTGCATGGAACCCACGTCCGCACAGGCATCGGAGCCGCTGCAGGCCCGCACTGCTGCCGCTCTTCCCATGATCCTCTCTGCCCCAGGGTGTCTGAGGCCCTCTTCTGGCTGACGGTTGGTTGCGCACTGATGGGTCTGGATGCTGTCATTGAACTACACTCGCCGACCCTGTTGTGGAGGCTGGAGCTGTGGTGGCGACAAAGCCAGGTCCTTGCCGCGTATACTCTGCTGACGTTTAACGTCAGGCGGCGACGAGGTTGTGAAGAAGGGTGGTCAGAGGCGATCGAGGATGATGGAGGCTGCTGTTCTCGCAGGGCAGTCCGGGCAGGCCCTGGAGGCTGACGGGGATGAGAGAGGGAACCAGCTGAGCCCTGGGGGGAGCAGTGCAGCCGAACCCTGGCAAGTGCAAAGGCCCTGAGGCGCGTGGGAGAAGTAGCAAGAGGCTGGTCTGCCAGGGTCCGGGGGCAGCAGGTGCGAGGAGGTAGTGCAGAAGCTCTGAGGCCAGGGGTAGGCATCGGGGGTTTTGCCTTAAAGATGGTAGCAGCCGCTGGGGAGCTCTGAGCAGGCGGCTGAACCAGCAGACTCAGCCGTGTGCAGACCACATTGCCTTCTCTGTGGGGACTGGATGGGGAGGGGGGGCGGGGCAGAAGCAGGGCCACCATAAGGAGGCTTCTGCTTGTCCCGTGGGGGGCAGGGCTGTGCCTCAGACCCAGGATGTGAAGGGTGGGTCCGGGGATGTGTTTGATATGAGAATTTTCAACAACCGCGCTTCTGCACGGAAATGGCTGTGTCACCTCACTGCTAGACCTCGGGCGGCCCCTTAGAGGCCTGTAAAGGGAGGTCACATACGGGCTGTGGGCAGGGGGCCGGGTCTCAATCCCATGGGACCTTCCAAATCCTTCGGCACTGGGTGGGGGGGGGAGGGGGTCCCCGCAGTGCTACCACAACCCACCCGCAGTGGACGCACAGCTCGGGGCTGACCTCAGTGTGGGCCGAGCTCCCTGGGGTCATGCATGTCCCCTGAATCTCAGGATCCTGGTTCTGTGCAAGAGCCCGTGGCGCTGCCCCGGGGGAAGGGCAGCAGAGCGCCGAGCTCCTGAGGGCGGGTGACCCCTTGGAAGATGCTTTTCCTTGAAGGCGATTGCAGGGGCCCAGCTTTGGGTGAAAGGTAAATTTTTGGCGGGGGGGGGGGGGGGTGCGGTCAAAGCCAAAGGCGCCAGACTAGCCAGGCCCGGCCGGCAGGTCTGGGAAGCTCGGGGCTCGGTGGGGCCTGTGCAAGCCCCCTTTGGCCCGGAGCCATGTCTCTTCGCAGCCCCTCGTTGATGCCCACGCACGCTCTCTGACGTCGTGAAACGGGCAGTGTGTGTGTGAGTCTCCCTGGGGGGCTGGGGGGTCAGGGGGAGGAAGGCCCGTGTCCCCGTGGTGCCGAGCAGTTGGAAGCCTGCAGGGGCCGCTGGGCTGTGTTCTGCCTCCGAGTCCACCTCAGGCTGCTGGCGGGTCTCCAGAGGGGGGGCCGGGCCCACAGAGCAGTGGTCAGGGAGCCCCCCGCCCCCCGGGCGCCCCGGCGCGGCGAGCTCTGATGTCTGGAAGGAAAACCAGGGAGAGGCAGGGGGCACCCCAGTCCCTCCTGTTCTCAGAGGCCCCCCATCCGTGGTTTCGTCACGCCCGGTGGGACGCGCGCCGGCCTCTGCTGGCAGGAGGGCGGAGGTCTGGGGGAAGCGGGTAGGGGAGGGGGTGTGAGGGGCTCCTGCTCGCCTTCTTCCATGGTGGTGTCAGCGGGGACGGGCCTCCTGAGAGCGCTCCGGGGTCAGCCATGGGCAGGGTCAGGGCGGGCAGTGAGTGGGGCTGGCCCGGCCCCGGGGGCTACGGGACCATTTGGGGCACTTGGCTCCTCGTGCCGGCAGGGGTGTCCGCGCCGGGGGCGGGCTACCTCGCCCGCCTTGGAAAGTGTCCCGTGAGTTAGACCCCACTGTGAGCCTTTAGATGTGGATTCAGCTTGGGTTTTACTGTGTAGTGAATTCTGAGTCCCTGTTAAAAGCACGGGTGGAAAGCAGTCTGCTACAAAGTGAGGGCTGTGTCTTAGGGGCGGCGGTGGAGGCCGGGGCGGATCGGTGCTTCCGGCCGCCGGGAGGGAGCCCGCTTGCCAGCCACCTGGAGAACCGCCCGGCGGGCGTCTTGGCTCTTGCGTCCCGGCCCTCCTCCTCCTCTCCCTCCCCCTTGCCGATCTCCGAATCCTCCCGAACCACAACCATCCAACCGCCCACCCACCGTGTGCCTCGCTGCTCCTCCTCCAGATGCTTTGGGGGTCCGGAGGAGGGGGGCGACCTTGTTCTGGAAGCCGAGACATAAACAGGGCCTTCTGCCCTGACCTCTGGCCCCTCAGAGGTGCTCCTGAAGCCTGCAGGGGTGGAGCTCACTCTTCCTGCTCAACAGCGGCTTTGGGCTGGGCCAGAGGTACCCTTCCAACTCCTTTAAACGTGGCCACGTACGGGGCGGCATGTGGCCGAGAGCAGGGGCAGGGAGTGAGTGCGTCCTCACTGTGTAGCCGGTGCACGCCGGGCGTTGCCCCCCTTCAGTGCGAGAACCCATCCGTCTACCCCGGCCCCCACCCCTCCCTCCTGGGGACGGACCCCTGAGCTGCAACCTGCGACTGCCCATAAATCATCCCCGAATGGGTGCGCTTCCCGCGCCATCCATCACGCCCCGTCTCTTGTCTGCTTGTTTTTAAAAGCTGTTAAACTGGAATCCATCACATGGCCTCCTCGGGGGGCCGAGCTGAAGCAAAGTCTGCCCGCATCAGCAATATTAATGCGCGCAGAGCTTTCTAGAGCATCGAGGTAAATGTCCCTCCGTGGTGGGGAGAGGGAGAGCACGGCGTTATCCAGAAGGTAATGGGATGTTTTTCTGACACTTGCAGTTAACACATTCCTGCCGCGCGGGAGGAGGTCCGGGTGCCGCAGCAGGTGACGCCACCTGACCGACGCTGCAGTGTGCCCGCCTTCCCGCAGGGGCACCTGACTTCTTCGTGTGCCCGCTAGTTTCCATCCAAGACTTTAGCCTGAGCCAGTCTTTGGAAACATGGATCCTTCTAGGAACATCCGTGGTTCCTCTTGTATCGCTAAATGTTTTCGGAAAGGAGGATTCGGGAAGGGTGTTGGGATCAGCTTTAATCCCTGCTTCTGAGCGCCCGCTGCTGGAACAGGTTCCGGGGGTGTGCCATTGAGGAAGAAAGAGGAGGGGGCCCTGGCGCCCTCCCTACGGGCTGCCCCACTCCCCCCCTTCCTCTGCGGTGTGCCTGTAGCTGGCCTCTTCCCAGCTCTCCTTAGCATCCACCCGATTGACTAGCACAGCTCTGTCTCCAGGAGCCCTTCTGTCCGTCCCAGACAGATGCCTCAAACCTCGGAGGCAGCGGGGGCATCTTATCCCACCTGCTTTTGGCTTCCCCGCCATCCTTTGCTTTGGAGCCCCATGCGTGAGCATCCCGGGGCTGAGCGGGGAGGGTCATGGACGGGCGCTGGGTCGGAGCATCCCCCCACCCCCTGCTGCCCCGCTCGCCCCCAGAAGCTGTCCCAATTAGAGCCCATTAGTCACTCAGTGTGTTGGAGCATTTAAAACAGTTTAAAGGTGAGAAGAGTTTCCAGATGCATCGGTGCTGGCGCTGGAAGGCAGGCTCTGCTGGTGGCTCCCCAGGTGGCCGTTGCCGGGAGCCTGCAGGCCTCTCGAGGGAGCAGGCCCGTCCCCCCGGCCTCCTCGCCCCAGAGCCCACAGCCTCCGGAGGGCGAGCCCTGGGACGGCCCTAACC